TTCCAAAAGACGTAAGTGTTCCGATGAGAAACCAGTTATTAATGTTTGTATCTGTGATCAATTACCAAAGCCTTTGATGAACAGCAAGAAGAAATGCTTCGTACTCAGCGAGTTCAACTGTCCTTACTGTAAATACAAGGTTTCGGACAGAACCGTGTTGTTAAATCACATGAGTGACAAGCATCGCGATTTCGAAGTTTATGCGAAAGCAACTGTCAAGTATTGTGCAAAATTCACGGCTACCGTGAAGAAAGAGCGCCTGGCTGAGGAAAAAAAGTCGGATCACTTTATCAAATTGATTCATTGCCCCAAATGTCCAGGAACTTATACGGATCCTGAAGGAATTATTCGTCATTCGTGCATTTGGAGATTCGCTTGCCTTTATTGTAATTATAGCTTTAATAAACGAATAGGTATTCGCGCTCATGTAAGCCGATATCACTAATTGAGTGACTCTTCCATGACTAGTAGGTTTACTTAGATAACTTATGAAAGCATAACATATGTTGAAAGTGACAGTTCAGACATATGTTATACTAAATTTTGATATTTTTTTACATTGATATTGTTGCAGTATGTGAACGCTTTCGATGTTTTAAGAACCTTTATTTTTTACTTTGAATTACTGCTATTTTAAAGTATTATGGTATATATGAATTAGAAAACGTCACGACTAAATAAAATACAGTAATGACACAAACATGCTATTCACTATGATATTTTGTTATCTAGTATCCTTTGCAAGAGTTACCATGTTTAAACATTGATACTTATGTTAATATTATCGAAAGACTTGTGTTCATTAAAAAATGTATGTACTGTTTAAGACTTGTACTACGAATCGAAACTACCAGAACGTAGTCAATCTTAAATAATTAGGTTTTCCATTTTATGTCTTGTTCGCAAGTCTTGCTATTATTAATTGATGTAGAATGATAATAAAATAGAAATATTTTTAATAATTGATGCTTTCACAGATTTTATTTCACTACCTTTACATAGAATATTTTTAAGACAGAGAATTCTTGAACTAACACATGTAATTTGGTTATGGCCACTATGGCACTATTCGAGCACTCATTTCCCAAGTTCAGTGAACATTGCACTGAAGACTCAGTGGTTATAACTATATGTAAAAAGCACTACCTAACTTCGATATCATTAAAAAAACCTTTTTATTTTACAGTTTTAGAAATAGTTAAGATAATGAACGAAGAAGCCGACTACGAAATCGATATCGAAAGTGATTTTGATGTCTGTTTTTAAACGACAAACCTAATGCCATAGTTGATGTGTCATAATAAATTTGTGATAAAATATACAGTGTCAATAAAGATAATAGAAAATAATTTTTAGTTTTTACTATTTGCATTGACAGAATTTTATTTTTTTATGTGAAATTCTCACTATTATATGCATTTTTATGTGATATTCGCGAAGTCTTGTGTTCCATAGTAGCACTACACAGTTTTCTTTATATTGCGCATATTATTTATCTTTTAGATATGTCTTATTTAACTACTTTGCACACTTTTACATTAAATATATATTACGAATCTGATGATTATGATATACGTCGTACAAAATAAAAATATATTTGTTCGAAGTAATTTTCAAATGAAAACACTTTATAAATAAAAGTCATTTCCTCTCCTGGGTTCTCATTAATCAATCGACATCATGAAAATAAACAATTACCGGAACCCAATACTGCCATATCCCATCAACACTGCCATATCACACATAAAAAGAACACTAAGAACACTTACTCAAATTTTTCTCGGTGTTTGTCCACTTTGAGAAATTATTTTTTTCTAGCGAAAATTGTTATCGTTAATCGCAAGTTAAGAAATCAAACTAAACTTGATTGTACTTTTTATTCTTTCCACAGAGTATCTTACATCGCTAGTGAAAATTGAAGAAGATACCAATTTAGAGTTTGACTCGGCGATGGACGAACCCGATCCATTAGCGACATTCTCATCACCACCACCAGTGATTCATCCAATACAATTTGCTACGACGATGTCATTACGTAGCAAACATACTCTACCCCGTCCCGATCTTGTTATATTTACTTGTGACAAGTGTAAGCGTCGCTTCCGTGATGAGAAGAAGTTTCGCAATCACTTAAATCTTGCTTACTGTGATTATCCGAGATTAGCCTGTCCACACTGCGATTACGGACCTAAACTTTATAGAAATGAGATTAAGAAACATTGGAAACAAAAGCATACGCACGTAGAATTCTATTGTGTTGATTATTTCGATAGATCTAAAAGGCTTGAGTACTAAAGTAGATTAATTAATTGTTTTCTTGTACATGCAAATAGAAATATGTTAATTATTAATTACTATTATAGTTGTTTCAAGAATTATCGTTCGTTGCCATATCAACATGAAGTTAGCGTTTACATATCACTGATAGTTGTAACATTATCTCTCTCCCTCGCTCTCGCTCTCTCTCTCTCTCTCTCTCTCTCTCTCTCTCTCTCTCTCTCTAATTATTGTGTACTGATAGATATCAACTTATTTCTGTTGATCTCAATGTTTACATATCCAAAGAATCTCAATACTCATGCGTGCAATTCACATATGCAATCAAAAAATCTAATTTATGTTATATTAGTAAGTTATACAAGTAAAACGAATATACTTAAACTCAAATACTCATGTGAGACTTAAATATATACAAACGAAATACAAAGTGAGTTATCAAAAGCAAATCAAGAATGTGTATTTTATCTTTAAAATGCCTATAATTTACCATCATTTTGTGTTCGCATGGCTTTACTCACTCATAACATTTCTGTTTATTGAAGGGACAAACTCTATACAAAAGACTCTTTATTTTTTTGTTCGCAGAATCGATCAAAAACGAAATGGTAATTGTGGTGTCCGATGACGAAGAATCAACTTTAGAAATGAAAAAAATCAATGGTCATGAGTGTCCAAGGTGTCGTAATATTTTCAGTGTTGAAGCTACGCTTAAGGGACATATGAGTCTTTGCAGTAAACTTCATAATTTTACATGTCCTTACTGCGTTTTCAAGTCTGCGGAAAGTTCTTACAAAGTATTGTCACACATAAAAGAGGAGCACAACGGTTTGCCTACTTACTGCAGGGCAACTGTTGAGATTGACAATGCCAGACGACAAATTCATAGATTAGGCAATTTTGAATGTATAAAATGTCCAGCTGCTTATCCAACGGTCAAGAAACTCAATCGGCATGTTGAATATGAATGTTGCAAGACTTATATCTGCCTTATTTGCCCGAACTCGACATACTCCACTTTGGGTAGTTTAAAGACGCATCTTTCGAAGTACCATCTTGTAATATGTGATACTTAATTTATTTACTTAATAAATATTTATACTTGTGGATGTAGTTAATAATATAACGTTGACTCTTATTTGTTCTGTTCTTTTATAAGCTAACATTACACCATACTAATTGAAACTATGGAACAAATTTGTCGATAAACTAAAATTTCGCACCATCTAATCAACCTTTATCTGTCAGTCTGTCAAAGCCTGTCCTTCTTCTGTGATACTAAAAATCTATATTCAGATGCATCTTTTTCTGTTACAGATGAAAAAATATTGACGATAAAAAAAAAATCGCTTGAGGTGAAGCTCGAAGAGGAATCACAATTCGAGCTAGTCTACATAGATGAGGATGAAACCATGATGTTTAGCGATGATGTGAATGAAGACATTACTATACTCGAACAAAAGACAAAGTCGATTACGACTGATTCAAAAAACAATCATGTTCAAAATAAGAGATTTATTGATGATACCAATGAAGATATGACAATATTAGAAGAAAAGATAAAATTGAATATTGTTGATACAAAAACTGATGACTATATTACTTACGTAAAGAAAGGAGAAATAATTGACGACATGACTCGTCCGTCTAATTTTAATTACGTTCCTTCACAATGGACTGAAAGTATTACTTTAGCTTTTGAAGAGACGCAAAATAAATCTTAATTTAAAGTAGCTCCAAAGAAATAAGCTTCTCAATTATTCTTATTTATAATGTAAAACTAATATATTTTGTATTTAAATTGACGAGAACACGAAATGTTTATCGACAGAAGGAGTTTGGTGAATAACTTTTTTTTGTTGGAAACAATCGAGAATAGATTAAATAAAAATATTAATTTTTTTATAAATCAGATTTGATTTATTGCAACTAATCTTGTATTAGCTGCAATTAACCTCCCGTTTTGTAGCTTCGTTTTTTTTTATTTTAAAACTGGCAATAAAATAATTTAAAATAAACCTTTATGCTATCCTATAATTCCTCTATGTTGAAAGTTTCTTCCGGATAAAAAAAATAATTCAAGAAACTAGACTAACCTCCGTTTTTCAATTTTCTGTTTCTAGACTGGGAAAGCTGCCTGCAATACGTGAATCCCGTAACGGCTGACGAATGTCTCGACGCAGTAAAAAATATCGCCGTAGACGATGATTTTTTTCAACATCCAGAAATATTAGCGCGAAAGCGCCAAAGAGCCAAAGATCCGAAAAACTTTCCTTGTCCGAATTGCTCGAGTGGATTCACTTATGAAAAAGGTTTGGTGCAACATATCAAATACGAATGCGGCCAGAAGCCAAGATTCAAATGTCCATACTGCGACCATCGCAGCAAGTGGATGAACAACGTCTACAAACATGTGAGAGTACGACACGAAGGAGAAGAAGTGAAATACGTGACGAGTCCTGAGCGTCTATGAAGAACTTGATGTTAAAATGTATTGTCGTATTTTATTACTATATAAATTAAATTATTACATTAAATTTTGCTTCACAGTTATTTCGCTCTGTTATTTTCAGCCTCTCAACGCTTATAACACAAAAACTAATCCTCTCTATCTCGTTAACACGTAAAACTCTCGCCTCTCCATGTAAATGTTAAATGGATATATAAAAAGAAGCTAGAACCTAAAAAGAAACGCTAACAATACTGCGTTCTATCTGTTACAGTTGCAGAGATGCAAAGCACAATAGTGATAAAAGAAGAGCCGAGTTACTACAGTCAATGCGTGATCAAAGAAGAGCCCGAGGATTTATCGATCAGGGTACTCGATGTCACGAGTATTTCGTTGCAGGAGATGGAAAAACTAAGCCGCGGTCATAACATACTGGAAAATCCTGTGGCGTTGATCAAACGAAGACTTCGACAAAACCTACTTCAGCGAATGTCGGTCGACGAGATTAAACCATTTTTCGCTGATTTAGCCGAGGCCAAGCCATTTTCCGACACCGAAACCGAGGCTAAATTCGAGCTTCCAAGGCCCAGTAACGCGGTTGCCACAGTACTGCAAGAGCAGAAACCTGACTACATGTTTCAGAATTTGTTCAACGGTTGTGATGACCACCAAAAGTTACTAACCCCACAGAAGGTGCTAAACGTCAACGAATACTTGAAGCGTAAGCGTGGCAGACCACGCAAGAATCGTGAAATCATCGAGATCTATCCGAAACTCAACGGGAACATCACGAAAAGGAAACGTGGGAGGCCGCGTAAAAGCGAGGTTAAGGATAGAATTGAATCTCCGATTGTTCAGACTGTCGAGATAACGAAGAAACCCGACAGCCATTACTTCCGCGAGGAGATTCTCATGACAAGACTGAGAAACAAGCGTCTGTAAAGTTATAAAGTATGTGTGTGATTAAAAAGTAAGAGACTTCGTGAAGAAAAATAACTCGCAAAAGTGTTCTAAGGGAGGGAAATCGAGCTTTATGTAGTGGGCGAACTTCTTCCTTTTGTCAATTGATTTGGGCTGGTTATAAAATGGTAAAGTATATCTTAGAATTAGAGAAAAAAGGATATGTGCAACAATTTTTTACGTATTGGCTTAGGATATGGCTAATTTATGTACTTGATACTTTTTAAAAGTTCCTGGATTGAGGTTCCTAAAAAGAAAAAGAAATTCCTAAAAAAATTAAGTGTTATCGCATGTTTTTTTTCATTTTAATTTCAAAAAGAAGAATGTTCTATTTATCCTTTATACTGAATTGTTACAAGATTGAACTTGACAAAATGAAATTCCTTTTGTTTTATAAATTACGGATTCTAGATTCTAAAGTTTGAGTCTCGATTTTCTTAATCTAATTATGTTTTAGTGACTCTTTGAGTTTGAGCACAATAACAATGTTTGCTGGATAATAAAGAAAACGGCTTTTGAGGTGATTTAACTATAGCTTAAGTAAGATCGTGATACATATTAAACGTGTAATGTCTGGTATGGTGAACTGATTGTTTTTTATATTGTGTTATGCAATAAGTTATATATATGTCTATAAGTTGACTATATCTTCATTATTCGATATCAAGAATAAATGCAATATCCGTTCTGCATCACACAATACATATAAGATTACACGTATTTAAGAATATTATGTACTATAATGTCAATATGATAATTCTATTCATATGACAAATAAAGAAAATTTTTTTATGGACATCTTGGCTTTCGACTCATTCGACTTTTGCACCTGTCTATCTCTAAAAAAATATATACGATTGCGTTTTTATTAATTTTTAATTTGGCTTTATTAATTTTTTTTTTTTTTCATTGCGTTTGGTTATCAAGTTATTTTTTTCTCTTTTTGTAAAACACGGTTGCTGATCTGTAAAAGTAACGTTATTTTCTCAAGAAAGCATTACTTTTCTATATAGTCATACTAATAAATTATATATTATTTTTTCAGATTGGGACTTCGTTCAACCGTACGAAGCTGTATATTTTCCCACGACAAATCCACAATTCGTAAACATTCAGACCGATCGATATCCATGTTCAGGTTGCGAAAGGCACTTCAAGGACAAGAAAAATCTAGTCAGACACGTACAGTATGAGTGTGGTCAAGAACCTAGGTTCAAATGTCCATATTGTGAGCTCAAAAGTAAAAGGCCATCCTGTGTATATTTACACATACGTAAAAGGCACGGAGACGCTAAATCTTTTTGTTACGACATATCGATTAATCCGCCGGAAATTAAGTATCCTCATGTACCGCAGGCATCAACGACGTGAAAATATACAGTATTATTTTTTATACAACGAAACTACAATAATATAGTGATGTAAATAAACGAGAATAAAGCGTATACATATTGCGTTTTGTACATTTCTATTTTGTTAGGTAATCTTCTTTGAGATAACTATATCCTCTCCAATGCTTTCGTGCATTTTCTTCTCCTTAGGATAATCTACATTAACTTTAAAATGTCTCTTGCAAGACTGGATTACCTTTACGTAGAAAATAAGTTTTATTATCCATAACCGGTTAAAAGTTGGGTTTCTTACTTCAAATAACTGTAAGGATTACAAATCTCCAAAATAAACTCTAATCGATCTGCTTATACTCTCTTTTGCAGAAAAACCTATAGCTAGAGGCCTTCGCGGATTCAACAACCAAGAGCTGCATGGTTCGCTTCGCTGTCTTCAAAAGTGGGATTTGGTAATGGGACCGAAAATCGCTCCGCGTAAAAAGCCCGTTATTATCTCCATTGTCAAGCCGAAAAATTTGCTGAAAGCTGCTCACGAACGTTTCCTCTGCACCAAGTGCTCCAAAGAATTTTCACTGAAACGTGATTTGTGGAAGCACAATAAGTACGTTTGCGGACAAGGCAAGCGATTCAAGTGTCCATACTGCAAGTATAAGAGCTCCTACACATCGAGCGTCTATCAGCACATCAGGCGCGTACATCAGACTTGTCGCATTTTCTGCATCGACGGCGTTACCAATAAACCTTTCACAGCTAGTGTCACGTAGACTCTCCCTTTCTCCTGCTTTCGATGACCACATCAACTTTTTCTTTCTAATATGTAATGATATCGATGAGGTTCATAATTATGTATAATGATTTTAATACAGATTTTTATATGAGTAAATTTTCAATGCGATCCTATATAGTTCAATCGCTTGATTATGCTTTATTTTAATAAAGTTTTTATTTTAGTTTAACATAACAAAAAATTTTCTTTTATTTTGATAACTCTTTAGCGTTCTGATAACTGTCTCTTCATTTGTGTTATCTATTTTTTTTAGTATCATGATTTTTATTTTATTTTGTGCCAAAAAAATAAAAAAATTTATTGGCGCCAACATTAGTGGTTGAAACATGAGGACTTAAAATTTGTTTGTCTTACAGTTGTAATTCAAATTATTGCATCAAACCACTAGTCTACCGTAATTGTAATTATTTAATTTTATATACCTCTTGTAGTAATGAAAATTAGCACTTAAGGCTTCTAATGTTTACTGACTTTTGAAAATAATTATCATTGGAAATTATATCATTTGTAAATGTTCAATAAAATTTTATTACAAATAACAAACTGTTTTCAATAATTGAATACCAAATTTTTACCTTTTGATTAATAAAGAAAATTAAGGTATTCCTAATTTAAAAAGTATATAATAAACAATCTTAAAAAATTCATGTTATATGTATTAAATGTTCTTTTCAATAGGAATTTTCGTGATAACTTAATAATATTATTATAGGGTATCTTGTGTACTCTATAATATATTCTGTAAAGCTCGAAATGAACGTATTGAAATGCCAATAACAATATCAATAACAATATGATTAATCTTTGCTAATGTGGTACTGTGACGTCCAAAGCTTGGTTTTATTTGCAAATGAAAGAAACAACTGCTTTAACTAATTTAAATTTATTTCATCGCTAGTAATTTTCTAATGAGTAACTTTTCAGCTTCTTTAAACAGCGATTCATTTTTGGGATTCAGTAACGAAGATCTTCAGGCGTCACTTCACTATAAACATATATGGGATTATATAATATCTGGTATCTTGGAATCATTCCAAGTTAAACTCAGAAATTCACCTCCAAAATTACTCAAGAAATATCATCAAGTTCAAATTTGTAAAAATTGCTCAAAAGAATTCTCAAATGAAATAGTTCTGCAGCGTCATATGAATTATACATGCGAGCAAAGTATATTTCATAAATGCCCTCATTGCAAATTTCTATTTGTATCAAAAATTATCTTGCAAACACACATTAAAAAAGATCACCCATTCAAATCCAGACTTTAACGAAAAAAGAGTTTTTGTTTATCAAAATAAATTTTTGATTTATTCTTTTGCACTTGCGATTATATAACAAAAGCATATTATTACAACTGTAAAAAAGTTGTGCAAATAAAAAAAATGTTATTTCTAATGAAAAAATGTAACGTCATTTTGAATAAAAAATACTGTATTTTTTATTTGATTATACGTGTGTGATAAGTGTTGTAATAATTTTATGTATCAAATTCAAAATCATAATAACCTTTCACTCAACTCTTCTATAACATACAGTTTCAAAAGATGTAATATAGTATTAAATTTATCGTCATGCTATTTTATTTAAACATCTTCAGCTTTTCATAATCTAGTGATTCATCACGCGAAGACTTCATCGAGTATAATATAGAAGGGTTAGTTATTAGATCAATTTGTCACTCTTAATAACCTTAATCTTTTTGTTTTTTGTTTAAGAATGGAAACCAACTCATCTCAAAATAAAGTGTGAAAGGGCCGATGGACATCTTTCATCATCTTTCACTCCACCAGTAGATATAAGACCACATCGACGAAAAAACAAACCTCAACAACTTATTGAAATGGATGACCAGAAACTAACAGAGGCTGAATTGCTGGATTATGGCTTGAGAGTTCGAGCTAATTTAGGACCAATATGTTCGCGAAAAAGGCTCGTTGATATCGAACAATTGCATGAGCAAAAACCATTCGCATGTGAAAAGTGTCTACGTAGGTTTCGAAATAAACAAGGACTTATGCAACATACGAAATATGAATGTATGCGCGAACCTAGATTCGAGTGCGCGTATTGCTTGTTCAAATGCAAAAGGCCATGGGTGATCGGGGCTCATCTGAAGAAACACCATGGCGATCAAATTCCACGATACTTTGATAATATTAGTGAGTCTTGAAATGTGATTGGCACGATTGACGAATGTTGTGAAATAAATGTTAGTTCAATTAACAGGAAGTGCGTGAAATTAAAAGTTTATAAATAACATGAGTGTAAAAATGAAACATGTAAATTTAATTTGATAAAGTGTTTGGATATATTCCATGTCGCAGTAAAATCTAATGGAAAATGGTCATTTTCCTATGCTTTAAACGTTCAAACTTTGATATTGACTTTGAGTCAAATCTTAGATTTTGATTATAAAATAAATTATTTGGTTTATATAAAATTGTTACAATTATATTCAGAGCGTTTATTATAAACACTCTCTGTACATAAGTAAGGCAATAAAAACTTCATTAACTTAAACTATTTTATTTAAGTATCTTTTCTGTCATAAAATCTCTCAAATTATTTCGTTTCATAGGAGTAACATGGCAATGAAGTAAGATTACTACTAACACACTGTTATTTTTCTGATTTTTCAGACGCTGTTTTTATATCACATAGCTCAATTAAAGAAGAAATAAATTTCCATGATGAACTCATGGATAGTGATTCAGGTTTGAATTACACGCCAAGTTCGACACCAACATCTTCAGACACTTCAAACGCCAAAGACGCTAGCAGGATATCCGTAAAAAAAGATTTATTTTCCACGTCAGTTAGTCAAACGTCGCGGTCGTCGCATAAAATCCAAATTTTATATATCAGATATCACTCCGATGACAATCCAATGCCCAGCGATGAAGAAAGAAGCGTCAGGCAATTTCAGAATAGAACTTGGAATTATAGAAATTTTCGCGGTACTACTTATGGCTGTCCTTATTGCCAATATTGTACGAAATATTGCTTTACAGTTTATAAACACGTTCGTGAACATCATGCAGGCCAGATAAGAGCTTACATTATTTTTAGCGTTTCCTAAATAATATTCACTCGAAACTACGAATATTACATTGTTACTTGATAATGAGACTTTTAGACTCAACGAAGAAGAAAAATATATTTTTCGTTAAAATTTTTATTACTGATCATTAAGGCAGCATAAGTCGATTTTTACTAAAAGTTTTATTACTATAAAACAGCTACTTTTTCAAAAAACTTTGATATCATTCAATTGTAAACAAAATACGACGTATTCAATTCTCCACGCCAGTCTAGTTTCCATATTTTCATTGCTCCAATCATATTTTCATCACGCAAATGTAGAATGATATAGAAAGTTTTATAATGTAGGAAGTTAAAATAGTAGAGAAAATACACTTATTACGTTACATATGT